AATGTTGCCAACTGCAGATATTTATTAAAACGCTGACATTAACGGGAAATTTTCGATGTACAGTGACGTCATATGTAATTGCGTCAACTCCCCCCCCCCGCTGCTTCGGAGGAGATAATGTCACAAACGGACAGACCCGGGCAGATTTTAATAGCATAGATCAGCGATCATCAACCCTTAGAACTTCACGTACCACTACATATATAATTTTATATTTGGCGGACCACTAATATAAATTTTAAAAGAGATAAATACATTTATACAATAATAATCAGCAAACTACAAATATTTCGTTCGCATTGAAAAATTATACGAAAAGTATAAAAATCTTACCTTCTTGTACAGAAAGCGTCACATTTCCAATCACTTGAAATGAACATCGCGAAAAGCATGAACGAACCGGCAAACGTAAAAGCAATATCAATAAACTGAAAGTTTTCTGCAGCCAATTTGTAATTATTGTAAACATAATTATCATCACTTACTCAGCAATGGCGCTATCGATCAACAGTTGCACAAAACGAAAACGGAAACTTCCAGTGATGCAGTTATAAACAAGAATGCAGATGGTTCTCATAAAAATCTATCAAGTTGCCTATTGACTCGGAGAAAAACTGTGTTATTAACGACTACAATAACATATGGTAATTCAAAGGGAAAGAGAATTCCAGTTCGCGCTATTATTAATAACAGCAGAATATCCATGGATGCCAACTCTCACTTTCAAATGTCGCTAGGTACGCCTGCAAAAGCAGCTAAAAAGTCGCTAAATTCAGAAGGAATTTTGCTAAAAGTAGTAGAAATCCATATTTCGTTTTGTTACTCGTCATTTTTTAAACTGAAGCTTCATAAAAATATAAATAATGTCCCAATTTTTCTGCGGACCACTCAAAAGTTTTCATGGATGACCACCGTTTGGCGACAGCTGGTATAGATAATTAGAAAAAGTAAAACTCTGTGTAAGACTATATATAAATGCAATTTTAGGCAAAGCTACGAGTTTAAAAATTACTCATTTATCTTGATCGCTTTTCTTCTGGAATTCTTTAATTGACTAATATGTGTTATCTCCGGCCCTCGATTTTGAGTTTGGTTTCAAATTTTGGGATTTTTACCATGTTTTTCCGTTATTCTTAGAGGATGCGTCGTTCTAAATGCGATTCATCATAGTGCATGGGGGGGGGAAGGAGTGATTTTATCTAAAAAATAAAGCAGAATGATTTGAGGTAACTTTTTTTGTACTTTAATGTCAAACTGTGATACTGTGTTGCGATTTAAAAATCTGCAATATTTTTATCTCCAGCCAGTCTGCATACATCAATAAAGGAGGTAATGTTTCCGGTCTGAAAATTCGACCATGGGTTTTCAGTGAATAAGCGTAAATTTCGGATGCTCACACACGTTTTCATTTTTTTGACAGAGGTGTCTGTGCGGTTCTACGTGTGTGACAGCTTTTCCGACTACAAGTGCCAAGTTTTGTAAAAATCGCACGAGTAGTTTTTAAAAAATTGTCTCTCAAAATGTTAGCTCCTCAATGTTAATTGTATTTGGTATATTTATTGATTATCTCTTTTTGATTAAACTTATGTGATTTTTCTTTTCACATTTCGAAATTTAAGTTCATTCCAAATCAAATTCGCCCATTTTTTGTGATTTATTTTTAAACCGTTTTTATAAATTTTTCGAAAAAAATTTTGAATTAAAACCTATAAAATTTTTATCATCATCTTAAAGTAGATGTATTTCTAAGCATACCTGCAAAAGATTAGAGTTTTTTTATTTAAAATTTCCTAAGATTGACGTAAATTTACATTTTTGAAGTTTGGCATATTCGTGATAAGATATAATAACGCCATATGTTGTTTTACGCACTTAAAATTATTTGAACTATTGAAAGATGCTCCTTCCCCCCCCCTTGCGCACAGTGAAAGGGAAAAGTTAACCATAAGTTAAAAATTTAAAGGACTTAATCTTGGCGTAAACTGAAAAAAGTGCCCCAAGATGAATTTTTAAATTTCTGACCAAAAATTACAAAATTTAATATCTAGGCATAATTTTAGTCGTAGAATTGAAATATGGGAAAACGTTGGTATGTTAAGTTAAATTTTGTGTTCAAATATCCATGTTAGAACAATAACTTTTGGAATTAAGGTTAGTACATATTCCCTCTATGCTAACCGGTTCGGTGTTTTATTCTTATGCGTTGGTAAATTGTGCATCTTTTGCTTGAAAAATGATTCAACTAGGTTGTTCTTACGTTTAGGTTAAGGTTTTATGCTTTTAGTTTAATCTAGTTTAATCTGCATGCAATAGTTGTAAAATTATCAACAACTGAAAAGTTGCGCTAAGCCTAACGAGGCCACCAATTTAGTTCCATTTGAAACCCTTAGTAGCGTAGTGTAGTGAATTAAGTTAGTTGGTGCACCAACTTCAGAGTCTTTGAGCTTAATGGTACCAAAAGTTAACTCTCAATTTTGTCCACCAAAAATTTTGTTTTCCTTTCCGCTGGCAGAATTTCTTGTTTTGGCGTAGAAAACTAACTTTAATTCCAAAAGTTGTTTTTCTTTAACTGTTTTTAACTGTACTTGGTGTTTTATATTTTTCTGTATTTTGCAATTTTTGACAAAGGTGTTTTGAGATTTTATGTATTTTTGCCTTGCCGCGAAATGAGAACTGAACTGACTGAATGAGAAATAAATTACTAACGAAATTCGAGGAAATAAGTTTAAATGAAAGGCAGTAAAAAATGTGCATATGTATTCAGTTTTTTCGTGTTTTACTTTATAATGTGCATAAATCTTTACGAAACATAATTATGGAAACCTAAGGACAAGTTTAAAAGTTAGTTTCGTAATTTTTATGAAATTGATTTATTTTAAATTTAAAATTGCCAAATGAATTAAAAATGAATGTTTCCCTTATTTAAAACATTTCTGTAATTGAAAGTATCTGTTTACGACAGATGGTTGTAAAATAAAGGTCGCTTAAAGCCTTTTGTGGACATACGTATATATTTTGCATTAATAAACGTGATTCTTCTTTTTCGGTAACTTGATTTATACTGCATATAAACAGCGCCAGTGTTTGACATTATGCCGTTTGGTGCAATGGCTCTACTCTAGCAGTGACATGACTAGAACTTACGCCGCCCGGGGCGGTCTCTGTGTTTGCTGCCTGGGCGGTTCTCAAATTTGCTGCCCCATTTGATAAATAAACAGATAACTACAAAAAATGTCGAAACGACATGTATGGAAATAAATTAAAATCAGACTTTTATTTTTGAAGAGAAAAAAAAAAAAAATTAACTCTAGTATTTTAAAATTACATTATTATTTTGCTTGTTTTTTGTTTTCAAAACTATCAGTGGCATTGTAGAGGTGTATTTGACTGCTCTTGCTGTAATGTCTGCAATAAAGAAAGATTTCTTAAATGCAGAACACACATTTGTATTTGAAGAGTCATTAGGTTTTTTGATGGTGGAGACGTGAAAAATAAGCAATGCTCTCCCCGGGACCCCTCGAATATGCGTCGAGTGTGCTACCATTACACCACGAAAGCATGCTGGAAGAACGGCGAAGATTAGGGGATGCAATCGCCAAATCCTAGTGGTGTAGAAGCATCATCTACTACATTTTAGTTCGAGCACCACTGTGGAGACATTAGACTTTATTTTGTGTGTGTAGAAAACATGAAAAACGAACAATGCCCGCCTCGGGACTCGAAACTGGCCCCTTCGAATACACCCCGAGTGTGCTACCGTTACACCACGAGAGCATGCAGAAACCCGGGAGAAAATATCTTGTATAGTTCTTAAATACCAATAAAAACGATTTTCATTTAGAAAACACTCTCACAAACGAGCAGTACTTAACAGCAGTTGAGAGGAAAGTTCGCACGAGTATTACAATATTTTATTTTGAACTTTTTTTTTTTTTTGGAGATTGTAATTTAAAAGTAAACTACAAAAATTCAAAATGACCGTCCTTTCCATGTTCCTGTTTTGATTTCTCTAGCAATAACCGAAATAAAATTCTGGAATACAATTTTCTGAACGAGGAGTTTTCCATATAAAGGCCACGGTGATCATAATTTAGTTGATATTCGTGATTTGCATTCAAAAGTTCCGACGAAGTAAAAAGGTGTACGAAAAATATGTAGTAAAAACTCTTTTCTTACCAATTTAATACCGCACAGGAATTTAGAATCTAATTATTCCTGACATGCCTCAAAGACCCACCTGAATAACCACTCTAAAAACAATGTTTCAAGCAAAAATACCACCCTCTCCTCGCCCCCTCTAGCTGTGCCAGTGCTCGCACCCTTATAAAGCCGGTACCTTTTTAAAGTTCAGTGTATAACTTGAAGAAAGAGCAATTTTCGTGGTAGTGCTGGTACCATTATATCAGAGCATCTTTTTTTTAGCAAAATCCCATCATAAGTACAGGCACCTTTATAAAGCCGGTACCTTTTTAACTTTCAGTATATAACATGAAGAAAGAGCAACGTTCATCGAGGTGCTGGTACCATTATATCAAACATCGTTTTTAGCAAAATCCCCATCATAAAGGTATAGGCAATTTCAGTTTATATACTGGAGAAAGCACCTCGAGATGCCGTCACCCATTGTGCCACACCCCCGTTATGATGACTTCTGTTTTGTCTTGGCAAACAAGCCGACGACTTGCGCGAAGGTGTCGGCATATCTAGTGACGAGGCGAATCTATTAGCCATCAGCGTCTCGGGATGTTTTCTAAATTCCGCCCGTGTAAGATATCGTTTGAGAATATAGCTGTAATTATGCAAATCTGGCCTTTTTGTATTGTAACTTTTTTTAATCATTTTTAAAAATTTTATTTACTGATATAATTTTAACCTAGGTGTGGTGGAGAACAGGAGAATTATTAATAATGCTGTATCGCGAACTGTGTTAAAGAATTTTAGTGTGTTTCTTATTTCAGCAGCGGTAACCAATGAATAGCTCTTATTGCTTTTGTTTGCAGCCCCTCTCCCACCTGAGACCCCCGGAATCCATTCTACAGCAGCAGCAACAGCAGGGGTACATTGTGCACCCCTCCAACTCACCCCAAGGTCATATCATGAATAATAACCACAACCAGTTTCACAACAGCTCTCATCAGCAACAGCAGCAGTCCAGGGGACCCCAGGATATGTACCAGAACGAGATGATGAACTCTCATTCTATGGGAATGCAGTAAGTGATATTATTTGTCATTATTTTTGAGCGATTTTTGAAAAGGATACTCATTCTTCGGGTAAAATGCAAATTTAAAGAATATCTCGTTAATACCAAGCCAAAACAACGAATCTGCATTAGTAGTTCTGTAGCATTTACATTTGTTTTCGAAAGTTTTTTTTTTTTTTTTTTTTTTTACGCTGTGCCCAAATAGAGAGAATGTATATTCTTCGTAAAGCAGGGCTTAAATTCAGCTGAGTCCGGCTATGGCACTTTTCAGTTTTTGCGAAAAATCGCAATTTCGGCCAGAGCCCCAAATAAACTGAGCTTCGGTAATTTAATTAATTATTTGACTGTTTGCATTAATGGAATAAATTTTTAACCCAAAAGGGCTGTTAGCCTCGAAACGTTGTTTTATATCGTTCACTCTCAATGCATTGTTTCATTTTTCATTCGAGTCTATTGAGCAAAATGTGAGATATTTAAAATCCATGAGCATTTAATTGAGATCTCTGCGCAAACCAGTATGTTGGGGGTCCCTGACGCAACATCCATTCACGGAAATGAAATGTAAATGGATTAGCATGGGCTCCTCAGAGTTCCTCTGCTCAGTGGAAGACGATGCATTAAGACGGCCGTTCTCTTATGAATTAAGAAACTAAGGTATTGAAAAGCAACACATGCAGTTTTTGTTAGATCAATCCAATCCATAACTGGCATTGAATTTCGTTGCTTGGCGACCATTTAACGGTTGACGGGCTAATTCAGTTCATTGATAATAGTATTCCTTACAATATTTGTTCAAAAATTATATGCAATGTTTCTTGAAAATATGTGTTAATATTAAAAAACTGCATCATAATAGAGACATCATTTACATAAATGTTTTGAAATAAGTGTACAAAATTTTTTCGGATCATTTAATTCTAATTAATCTAATTCTTGGGAGTTAAAAATCGTCTTGATATTAAAAAATATCTAAAACCTTGCTTTTTTTTTTTAATCTTGCTCCGTGTATGCTATATTTTTACTGCATTTTAGCGGCTCAGCAAATTGTTAAGTCTGATAGCTGTTGCCACTCTATGCGGTTAAGATATATATATTTTTAAAAAATTTTAACAGTATATTGCTTATCATTGCAATAAATTCAGCAATTCAAATATTTTGTACATAGTTCTTAATTTTATCTTCATTTTATTTTTCAGTAATATATCCAACTTTCTGACATATTAAATTTATAATATTCACAAGTATTTGCATTATTAGTGTAATTAATAAAACATGTTTTCTTATCTAATAAACTTTTAGAAGAAAATTACTTAATCAGTAATTTGTAAATTAAAAAATAACACTATTTTTTCCCTGTCATCTTTGATTTGAATAACTTACAACCGTTTATTTACATTAAATTACGTTTAAAGATTTTTATTTTTTAATTAATTATTTTTTTTTTAAATCCGAGATGAAAGTTTTGAATTAATAATTTAAGTGTTCTTTTTGCTGGATTTTACTGCATAGTAAAGTTTTTATTTTAAAAATTATTGATGCAATTTCTTTTATGGAATTGTGTGAACGGTGCGGTCTAAAAATTTAAATCATAAGAAAAGTTCAAATATTCTAAATTCTTGATTTTTTTTTTTTTTTTTTACCTTGTAACAGAACTAGTAATTGTGAAAGAAAAAGAATTTACTAGCAAAAATTCATTTAATAAAATGTTTTGCTCAAATAATATTTAGAAATTTTCTTTAAATATCATATTTAAAGATCGGGACATCAAGTTTTCGTTTGCTTTTAAATTTATGTTCTTCTGACAGTTTCCATAATGTCGGAATTTATGTACGCAATTCGTTGAGAAGTTTCGAAATTAAATCTGATGTAGGGCTGTAGGTGGCAGCACCTGTCAATATATTAAAAGTAATGATTATTTTATCGATTGTAAATTTTTGAAATTAACGTTGTGGAAGCTGTAAAATTCATGAATAAATTATTGCTGATTTAGAGATGGTACAAATTTAGTACCAGAAAATGTTTTATTGCAATCGGCCAATCAGCAGCGAGATCGTCATCACGTGATGGTCTTAAGCCTTATTCACGGCAAAGGTGCTGTTGCTGATCGGTTTAGTGCTTGGTGATGCAATGTTTTGTTGACGTGTTCAGGTTTTGTGGGATTCCTATAACGATATTTTTATTTTACTGATCAGAAGTAACCTAATGTACTTATCACAATTGGATCTGGTTTTATGAGATCGCGAAATTTTATGACGTTAATGATATATTGCTTTGAGATTCATGGATTATCCCTGAACATTACCGGAAATGTAAACCGCACATGTTTCTACGTTCCAGTGGTAAGGGAAAAGACGATTTTTTAGACGTTTCCATTGCTTTATGATAATAAATTTTTTTATAATAACATAGATTTCTGATATCGCAATTAAATAACATGTTTAATCTTTGAGTGCAGGAAATAAATTTTGATAATATATCTATCGTATGAGTAGAATTTTTCTTACCCATTTATGGGAATTCGTATTGTTATCAAGAGTTGAAAAGTACATATATTTTTCCCTGATAAAATGTAAAGTTTATACATTCTTATATGTGGTAAACTATCGCAGTATTTTCAATTTCATGCAGCAACAAATCTTAAAGCATTCATTTGCATTTGAAATAATTTATTTTCAGAATGCAGTATGAAGACCATTCAACATATTCTGATGCTTCCATGCAACAAGGTTCCATGCATCCACCGCAAATGACTATTATGCAACAACAGCCCCAACAGAACCATGTTATGGGACCACCACAACAACAGATGTTTTCTACTATAAATCAATCTCAGATATCATCTCAGCTTGGACTGCAAATTGGAATGGGACCTGTAACTGCTCATCAAGGAACAGGCTCTCCGCCTGGCTCTAATCATACTTCTCCTGGTTTGGAAACGAGTGAGGACAGCGACGATAGCACACCATTAGCGCAGGTATGTGTCATGTTTTATAGTTCCTATTGTTTTGTTGTTTCGACAGTTCCAGCACTGGTCATTTTGCTGCATTCTGTGGGTCCTAAATTTTGCAGCCCACTGCTTTTCTAAACTCTTTGATCCAGAGCCTTTCCTTAAATTCTAAAAATTCTGCCACTCCCAAATTCTATCTCTTGGTGCTCCTCTAAATACTAAAAAGCTTTCCTTCTTTGTTCCTCAATCTCTTCTTTCCCTGCAATTCTTCTGTTCTTTTCCTCTCGTCAACAATCGTGAAAAATATTTCTTTAGCAAATTCTTCATCTATTGTATGTCTCACTTTGAACTATTTTATTTTTTATTGCTATAATTTTCATACTTGGATCCACTTGAATCTCTAATTCAAGTGGAAAAAAGGACGATTCCAAGTCTCATAAAAGGCATGATTAAACCTAAAAAAAAATTTAATAAAGAAAACCTAATTTCTTATCAATACTTCCTTAAATTTACCCCTAACTTTAGTTAAAGTATGAACTTTCTAATTGAGGTTTGTTATAACTAATTTAGTTAATTTCACTAAATTTTTAAACTGATAATATTTTCCTTTAAATATACTTTAAATAGTGAATCATTTATGTGAAAACAATTCAGCAGTACAAAATACGATACCACAAATAATCAAAGTAAAATAAACAACCACAGTTTGATAATATATATATATATGTTGTATGATCTTAAATTCACTTAGTGCGAAATCGAGTTATTCTACTACTTGCGCAATTGCTGCAAAGTAAGTCAATAATAATTTATTAATTACTTTAAAACATTTTTCGAAATTGAACTTACTAAGTATGGATTCACTCTTTTAAGATAGTTCTACTAAAATTAATCTTAGGAGATAATATAATCAATATTCTTTAGTAAATAAATTATATATATATATATATTTACAAGTACTAAATCTCTTAACTTCTGTTTACAATAAAGACATTTTCTGGAAAAAAAAAAAACAATCAATAAAGTGAAATTTTCCCTTTCCTTGGAGAAACAAAAAAACGAAACAAAAAAATCATTTTTATGTGTGACTTTATAACAGCTGGCTTGATGCCAAATAATGTTTACTAAATTTATTCAGTCAGTTGACTCTTTCTTTTAGACAAACCCCCTCTTTTTTTTTTCTTTTTTTTCTTTTTTTTTTTGTTTGTTTGATTTAAATAATATTTTAGCTCATATAGATATATAAAGTACAAAATCCGTAATCCAGACGTCCATTATCCGGAATGATCTATAATCCGAACCTCAAAGACACAAACTTGTTTTTTGTGTGCTTTATGCATGCGCGTTTAATGTATAACGGACGGTATAAGCTAGGCTAAAATTATCTTTACTGATTTTGAGGCATTTCAGTTAATGTTGCAGATTGCGCTGTTCCTTAAGCGGTAATAAATGAAGATTATATAACAGAAGTTTTTCATTGCGAAGATAATGCCCCAATCATCAGTCAATTAACAGATGGCGAAATTTGTAGTATGGTTCTAGATCCAAAAAAATACCGCTTCCAATAGTGAGGAAAGTGACAGAGAGGTTATTGAAAACGAAAAAATTTCGATTGGCAAGTTAGTTGGTATTCTCGACACAGCAATTGCAGGACTTGAACATTGGAACTTTGTAACTGAACAAGAAATTATGTCTGTTTATAGAATTAAAGAGAAAGTATTAGCACAAAAAACCAAGCAACTTAAACAACTTACATTGAAAGAAATGTCCAATAAAGTAAACAAATAAATATTAAGCTTTTTTTTTGTAAATTTTTGACATAAGCAAAAAGAAAAAGGAACTTTTTGATTTTTTTGTGGATTCTGATACCCCACTTGCAATGAATAACAGAAAAAGGGTTTGTTATGCTAAAAGTGACGATCATGACAAAGTCATGATTGAATGGGTCAGGCAGCATCACAACGAGAGCGTGCCATTGACGGGTCCAATGGTAATGGCTCAAGCCAAAATATTTCATGAAGAAATGAACTTAAACGGAGAGTGCACATATTCGACAGGTTGGTTAACAAAATTTAAAAATCACCATGGTATAAAACAATTAAAAATTTCTGGTGAAAAATCTTCAGCTGATACTGAAGCTGCTGAACAATTTGCAGATGAATTCATTACTAGTGAACAATTATCTGCAGAACAAATTTACAATGCTGATGAAATTGGTCTTTTCTGGCAATATGTACCGCGAAATATCTTGGCAACCTCTACAGAAAAGGCTCCAACTGGTGTCAAAGATTCCAAAGCGAGACTAACAATTTTAGCGTGCGTAAATGCTGCAGGAACGCACAAGTGCAAACTTTTTGTAATCAGAAAACATGTATGACCTCGAGCGTTTAAAGGAGTAACAATTTTCCCTGTTATATATCGCACAATTAAAAGAGCATGGATGACACAAGTGTTGATGAATGATTGGTTTGAAAATCATTTTATACCCGAGGCTCGGCGACATTTGAATTCGGTTGGTTTACCTGATGACTCAAAAATAGTCCTGATTGTTGATAACTGTTCGGTGCATACTTCACTTCAAGTTTTAGTGAAAGATAATGTATCCGTATTATTCTTCCCTCCAAATTGTACGTCTATCATTTCAGCCTATGGATATGGCAATAATGCACGTGCTGAAATGCAAATATAAAGCAGCATTTTTAAAATCTATGTTAAATTTCTTGAACAGTGGCAAGACTATTTAAGAATTTTTGAAATTTTTTAGCATAAAATCTCCCATGTGGAGCATTGCAAGATCATGGGAGGATGTGTCTCTAAGTACGTTAATAAATGCTTGGCATAATTTATGGCCATCTACCATATTTCAGAGTGAGGAGGATGAAGATGATAGCTGCAAATTTGAAGGTTTTTGAACATCACAAATTAAAGGTGAAATTTTCCAGTTATTGGATTTTGTAAAGAAATGTGGAGAAGCGGTAATAAATGAAGATGATGTAAGAGAAGTTTTTCATTGCGATGACAATGCCCCAATCATCAATCAATTAACGGACAGCGAAATCTGTAGTATGGTTCTAGATCCAAGAAATATCGCTTCCGATAGTGAAGAAAGTGACACAGAGGTTATTGAAAATGAAACAATTTCAATTGACAATTAGTCGGTATTCTCGACACCACAATTATAGGACTTGAACAGCGGAACTTTGTAACTGAACAAGAAATTATGTGTGTTTATAGAATTAAAGAGAATGTATTATCACATAAAACGAAGCAACATAAACAACTTACATTGAAAGAAATGTTTAATAAAGTAAACAAATAAATATTAAGCTTTTTTTTTTTTTGTAAATTTTGATACCCTTTACATCATAATTGTTCTTTATTTCATAAATTATGGTTTCATATTTTTAATTTTATAATTTCTGCATGCCATCTTACGAGATTTAAACTGATGATCTATAATCCAGAATCGCCGAAGTCCCGACGAGTTTGGATTAATGACTTTTGACTGTACTTCTGTTTCAGGATTTATTTCCTCTATAATACCTTCAACTAACAGTTCATTTATAATCATTTTATATGCTTCATAAAGCAATAAGTTGCTCTTAAATCTGTTCTTTAAACTCTGTAATCTTAGGTTTACACTACTAAAATTATGATCTATTTTTTGTTTCCCTTTAAACACTAATCTAACTCCATATCATTTACAGTTAAATTTTATTTTAGGTAGGGTTTTGTTTCATAGCATCAGAATAATGTAATGAATTATGTTCAAACTGAGATCGAATACCCATGTATTGAAAGTTTTCCACCAAAAAAAACATTGCTAAAAGAGCTAGGGGGAAAAAAAAATATGGAAGCAGTACCTTTAGTACGAGTAATAACCACCACCCAGATCTATGATTTTCTGCCAACGTTTTGGTAGTTTTTCAAAGCCTTCGGCCCAGAAACTTGGTGGCCGTTAGTCCAAAAACAGATCGAAACTCAGTTCGGACATCCTGTGCAGAATGGAAGATAGCAGCAGCAAGATGTAGCTGCAGGTGTGAAGAAAGGTAAAAAGTCCAAAGGAGTGATGCTGGGGCTGTATGTTTGGTGTGACAAAAAGATCCCATTTGAGTCCGTACAGACTCCAGCCAGTGAATGCAGAGCCACGTGGTCTTGCATGATCTCGACAGAACAGTACCATATTGTGCTGGAACTAAGTTCGACATTTTTCCTCGACAGCATTGTCAACATGGACAAGCATCTCACTGTACACCTTACTATCGAGGGTTTTAACTTTTTCCAGATACTCTTTGTGCAAAATCCCACCAGACACAAAGCATGATATTTTTGTTAGTCAAATTTCATTTTGCAAAACTGCTGATGGGGTCGGCAGGTGCAGACCAACCCCTACTTTGGCATGTGTTCTTGAATTAAATCTAATTTTCATCACAAGTGACGATCTGATCCAGAATTTTTCCTTGTGTTGATACTCGAGAAGATTAGTGCAGGCCCGAGCACATCTGTCCTTATCTACTCAAGTCGGCACATGTGGCACCCAGCAACTGAACTTGTACGTCGAGTTTATGCAATGCATAGCACTAATGTCTTAATTCCTTAGCAAGCACTCGAGTGGTTGCATACTGATCTTCTACAAGTTCTCCCAGGCAGGCCTCATCAACATCAGTAACTGGTCAGAATGTTCAGCTTCTTGAATGTCATAGTCCTTGTTTTTGAACTTTCGGTACCAAACCTTCACAGTGTCATATGAGACAGCAATAAACTGCAAGCTTTGGCATTCCGTTTGGGTTTTTAAAAATTCAACTAATTCTAAAATCTCGAATTCTTTTCTTGATTTCCTTCTTCCTATTGTATTCTAATGCTATCTTTTCTGGAATCGATTTCTGTGATGTTATAGCAGTCCCATATACAAAATTTCAAGTGTTCTGAGGCTACTCGTTTTTGAGTTATGCAAGATACGTGTGTACATCACCAAAAAATATCTCTTCTGAATCCATTTTAAATCAATTTCAGTTGAGGTGTAACCC